TCTGAAATGTCTTTGATCCCAGATATTACTCTTACTGAATTGCTACAGCATGGCAAAAAGGCAGTGAAAATACCCAGTGGGATAGCCAAAATTAACCTCCTGTATTTGAACAGTAGTGCTCTCTGTGTGTAAACCAGGTATCTGTGATATCCAAGATACGACAAGATCAGGAACAGCGTATCCAAACTGCGTGCTGGCTAAAATATGAAGCTTCACAGGGTTAACACACTAGCTTAGAGAGACGGGGCTGCTGCCCCAAAGCTTATTGCAAGATTCGGGCCTTATTGTTTGGTTATTTTCTCCTATAAGCTACTCTTCTAGTTTGGGGCAAGGCAGGCATAGCTGAGCTACTAAATTCTCTCTTGAAATAAGTTGTTTTGTGTTGTTGCTTTTGGGGATTTTTGGTAAAAACAGGATTAATATTTAATTTGCAGTTTTAGGGATTTTTGTGAGGATGAAAGAACTTTTGCCGTAGCGGGCTCTTATCCTGTAACAGTACTGTTTTTTTTTAAACTTCAAAAAGCAAACATCAATAAATAAATAAAAACATCTTTTTCAATGAAAAATGTCCCTCGGCACAATAAGCTGCAGTGGGCCTGTCAGCATGTCCTCCCTCAGCATCTCCAACGGATGCTAATGCGGCTCAACCTGCCACGAGCACAAAGAGAAGCCGCAGGATCCGCAGTGTAAATTTTTGATCACATGAGATGTAATTCCCAGGGAGATCTAAAACTGGCATTTGAAAGCAGACATTGTGAGAAATGCTCCCAGGGCCAGACAGGGGTACAACTGCAGCCAAGATGACCACACTGCGCTTGCTTGCCTTTAGGATGTCAGAGGTGTTGGGGCTAAATGGTTAACCCAGCTGTTAACTCCAAGATGTGTGCCGGGACCCAGCATGCTTGTCCCTCCCCCAGAGCTTGCCAGAGAAATTATAAAACCTTAAGCAGCTTAAGAGAAGGATATTGCACAAGTGAACGTTCTCGGCTCTGTACAAACTGCGTGTGGATTGCGAAGGCCAGGATTTCCAAGTGTGGGAACTTCAGAATGGGTACCCAACGCGGGTTTGCAGGTACAGTCACCTAAGACACCACAGCAGGTCACTAGAGCAGAGTTGTTTCACTAGCGCAGCACCCAAACCAGACTGCTTTGGGGCTGCCCAGCATGGTCAGAATAACATTGAGTAAAAAGCATCAGCTAAGCAAAATCAGGAGAGATGTCTGGTGGAAGAGATTTAGAAGTTTAGTATAAGAGCACAGGATACTTTTGGCTGTTACTTACAGTATCAGATTGCCGCCTTGTTACTTGTGAAAACACTCTGTTGCAAAGACTTTTAGATATTGAGAAATACTGTCTTTGTCACTGGTTTTAAAGATTTTCTGCACATGATATTCCTGTTTTGCCTGGGGTAGAGATACGCTTTGTGCTCGGACAGCCTATCTAAGACAAAAAATGAATACAAAAAGCAAGGGAATATATTTGCTTTTTGCTCCTCAGCTGTCATCCTTGTGTACAGTGAGGCTATTTGATGCTTGGGCTGATGCTGGAAAGGCTTTGTCGGAGTTTATGGTGGGTGAAATTAGCAGAGGGTTGGCGTAAAGCCTTATTAACCATGATTCACACTGGATTTTTAAGGTCTTTGCCCTGTTTAAACTTCCTACTGGCTGCTGGTAAAACGGTGAACTTTGCTAAGAGCATATGTAGACAATATCGAGTAGTGAACCCAAACAAGCATAGCTTTCAGTAAGATATTGTTTCAAGCAGTGACTTGAAAAATGTTTTGTATCCTACCAGTTGAACTCTTCTCAGTGGGAGACTGTTCGCAACTGAGACGTGTAGAACCAACTAACTTCACACAGAAGAATCCTGTCTTACTCCCTCATCTTTCCTCCTTTCTTTCCACGCAAAGCTTATTTTGTAGAAACTCATTCTTGTAATAGTTAGAAAGAGTCATAATTTCTTAATGAAATTCCTTGCTCCTGACACACTGTAAAAAATAGCAACCCCTTAAGTAGACATCTGTTTGGAATTTTTGCAACGTTTAATACTTCCCAGAACAGGGCCATAAATTGCCTTCTGCTAGCTTCAATGAGCTAGCCGTTGTAACTTCTGCTTGCTTTGGTCAGCCATAGACTTTTGTGTAAGAGTTACATGGAAAGATCAGGAGAGGGGCTGAGAATGGGAGCTACAAATGGGTGCGAGCGAGTATATTTTCTCAAATTATAAGATACAGAAGAGAGCTGAGAGATTTAGAAGGTTTCTGAAGGGTCTGGCCCCCAGTGACTGTGAGCTGGGAAGACGACTATAGTTACCTGTTGCAAGGAGAAGGAAATTACCATCCAGGACAAATAAAACAGCAAATACAGGCAGAAGCCATGGGAAGGAAAATAAGAGCAAGCTGCTGACTACAGAACAGTGTTATTGAAGGTTTGCAACCTGGGAGCTTACAGTTATGTATACGTTTCCCTGAGATTGCCACAGTGGGAGGTGGTGCAAAGCCTAAGAAGGCTGGAAGCCAAACCTGAGAAGGAAAGGTTGGAAATAGCTGTGTTCCTCTGGGATTTGATTAGCCCAGAATAGGTGAACTGGGTCAGGGGACCAGGCCCTTCAGTAGTTGAACCGCTGAAGGCCTGGAAGGGAACCCTGAGGCAGAATAGCTGTAGCGTCACATCACGTGGCGACGTACTGCAGATCTGCATCCTGCTAAGTTGAACTACTTTTTATCCCTTGGAGAAAGGACTCATTAGCCCTTTTAATTATTTTCCTAACCGCTAGAACTCCAGATGCCATTATGTTATGTAAAATGACAATTGTATTTTTAACTTGTAAAGCATGTGAACTTAAAGCTCTTTCCAGCGATACAAATACAGCTCCATTTCAATGCGTGACTCATCTTCACATGTAGGAAAAACTCAGCATTTCACATCCCTGTAACTACACTCTCTGCACCAGCAATGAGTGACAGTTGCTGTGGGAACCATCACTTTTAGCATCCTAACCGTGCATACAACAGTGCAAAGAAATACTGGCTGCTTATTTGGCAGAAAAGGTCGCCTTTAGTGACAGCACCGACTATTTCAGTAGCCGTAGTGCCTGAAGGACCATAGCCTGTCCAGTATCGAGTCTCAATGCTTTGCTCCATAGCAACAGCCTTACTGTTTAAAACAGGTTTTAGAGTGAACGCGTCAATCCTTTCCCCTTCCTAAAGCGAGCGATCGGGGGGAAGGGGCCGGCGGTGTTCGGG